GAAAGTCATCAATGAGGCTCGCACCAGTCACTGGCATGACTTCTGTCAAACGCTAAACCAGCATACTCAGATATGGGGATAGAGTACGAGAGAGCGATAGACAGAAGGCAGACCTTATGGCTGAGAGCTTTGCTGACGCGAGTAGTGATAAACACCACTCCCCCGAATTCATGAATCGAAAAACTAACTTCGCAGTGGACCATTCCAATGTGTTGACGCACATAGATGAAAACGATCTACTGAATCTCGCTTTCACGTCTGATGAACTTCAGAAAGCTCTCTCGTCTAAAAAAGACAGTGCAGCTGGGGAGGATGAAGTCAAGTACTCGATGTTGAAGAAATTGCCTTCCGAAGCTTCGAAAATCCTACTGGATTTCTTTAACGAATCTTGGACCAATGGCCACGTACCGACAAAATGGAAGACGGCATCCATTATACCTATCCTAAAGGCAGGGAAAGATCCCAATAAAACGGAGTCTTACAGACCCGTCAGCCTGACATCCAAGCAATGTCTAAGACATTGAACAGTTCTGGGTTCCTCTGTGCAGTGTTCGTAGACCTAACGAAAGCTTTCGATCTTGGCTGGACAGATGGATTGATGCACAACTAGGAATAGGTGGTCGTATGCACAACTGGATAGCAAGTTTTCTTGCGGACAGGAAGATACGTGTAACCATAGGAAAGAGTCTCAGCGAACAATTCAGATTTGAAAATGGCAAGCCCCAAGGCTCGGTTATTAGCCCCACCTTGTTTAGCGTAATGGTCACTGATGTCCGCAACCACAAATACCTGTCAAACAAGTGTCAGATTGGACTACAAGTGTCATCTTGGACTACGGTTCACAGGCATTCATGACCGCCAGACCAATGCTCCTTCATAAGTTAGATGTCATACAGCACAAAGCCCTCCGATTAGCCACCGGAGCAGGCCTCGGCATAAAAACGGAGTCTTTACTCCAAGATGTTGGTGAGGTTCCTCTTCAAATCCGCAGAGAGGAGTTAGCCCTTAGATACTGGTCAAAGCACCTTGGAGAATCATCTCCTACCTACCTCGAGACCGCGAGGTTCAGGCACGCTACAAAAAAACGATAAGCTTCGGACAGTCAGTTCGGGATTCCGTTCGGAAATATGGGCTTGATAGGTTGCCCTTAAAGCCTCTTATATTTTCCCAAGTTGCTCCTTGGACGGTTTCGCCCCCCATTGTCGACACCTCTCTCGCCTCGAGATTGGATAATAAATGGGACGATCCTTGCATCGCTCGAATGATCGCCTTAACTCATATGGATGCAAGGTGGTCGGAAAGCATACGTATCTATACTGATGGTTCACATAACCCGGATGATGGTACAACGGGTCTGGGGATCTACGTTCCCTCGAGCAGCACAAGAATTAGCAAGCGATTACCCAATAACTGCTCAGTATACACCTCAAAGATGCTTGCAATCCTTTATGCGGTGAAATATATCATTCAAATTATGTAGTACTAAGCGACTCGCTAAGTAGCCTGACATAGATACTCAACGATTCCTCTAATTCCCAAGCAGAGCTAGTGGATGAAATCAGGCAAGCGTGCTCACTTGTACATAGTCAAGGCAAATCAATCGAGTTGGCATGGATCGCGTCTCATGTCGACATACAAGGGAACGAAATTGCAGATGAAAAAAAAAAATTTGGGCCTAGGACTATCGGAGATTGACCGGATAAACTACGGAAATAAGGTGCATGATCACGGAAAGCATCAAATCTATATCGGATGCAACTCTCATAGATGCTAATGCATTCCGCTTCCGATTAAACGAGAGCATTAGCAGTAAAGTGTTTTTACACCACCCAAATCGACAGATCTGTCGAACGGTCGCCCGTCTGAGAATGATGGGTGAGGTGCGAAATCACAAATATGAACTAAAGCTATGTCCCTGTGGTGAAGCTGGCACCGCAGAACATCTGTCAATCCACTGTGAGCAACTAAGGGAATTAAGGAAATCGCTGGTCGAGATAATGAAAAGATATAGGCTTGATTACAGTTTGAAGAATATTCTGTCCCATAGTTTAAACAATATTTATTGATAATTTACAAATTCATACATATGCTATAGATTAATGTTGGTTTCAGAAACAAGCCGAAGCTTATATAAAACTGTTACCAATACGAATATTTACAGATGATAAAAGTAAAATTTACATAATATAGGAGTTGACAGCAGCGAAATGTACATTGGAAACAAAACAGGAAGTGACAAACATATTTACAAAAGGAAAGGGAATAGGGCCGAACAAATTCATTGGTGAATAAAATGTTATTGATAATGACAAATGAAAATAGTTGAGAGGGGATGAGGGTGATTATCGTTAATCAAAATAAAATAATCTTCGTTTTAAAACGGAGGCCATACTTCGACAGCGTTAGCTAGGTTGTCAAAACGTTTTGTAGATGATATAAAGTTATGAACAGTTTGAAAGATATACAGTTTGTTTCTAAAGATAATTTTGGATTGCCGTTAAGAAGTGTTAATATGCAACGTAAATGAATAGGGAGAAGATTAATTGTATTGTTTCGTTGTTTTGAAAAGTTGCGACAGTAGAGAAGAAAGTGTTCAGAATTTTCAAAGGTGTGGCCGCATGAACAGGATGGATTGTCGGATATGTGCATTAAGAATTTGTGAGCGTTTAGTTGACTTTCATAATGACGTAGTTTGGTATGTATTATTTGTGATGGACGGTCGCCAGAGTAGAAATATAATGGTACAGAGGATTTTGAAGTGAATTTTACAAGCAGGGATTTAAGCTGAGAGAGGGAAGAAGAATTACGTATTGAGTCGGGCAGATTGTTCCAGATTTGTACAGTAGATGGGAGAAAAGATGATTTGTAAGCTACAGTGTTCCATGGAATAGTGCGAAAATTGTGCTTTCTTCTGATGGGGTAAGGGTTTACAATCGAAATATGAGGTGGTACCAGAATTCTCAGATATTGAGGTGTTAAACCATTAATCATTTTATAAAATAGAGTTACTTTGTGACAAAAGCGACGATCGGTTAAACTTGAGAAGCCGGACTCTTTGTATAAAACTGAGTGGGAAGTTCCCCAAACAATATCAACTTCCGGTTTTATAGTTGTTAGCAATTTGAAATTTTAATGGCGTATATCTCTTGATCTTGACCTTTTTAGACCTTCTCCTTTACAGGATCAAAGGTCATTGACCTTGGCTATCTGCTGATACTTTCATTTGTGAGGTCTGACGTCCACTTCCGGTATTAGAATCTTCTAAAAAATGAAAATTTATCAACTTTACACTGTTCTTGCGCTTGATCTTATTATCGTCGAAGGTTGATTTTTTCAGGGTCTTTTGCATTTTGCAACATTTGCAAAGTCCCACTCTGTGCCACGAGTGGCTCTAGTTTTATTTGTAATTTCAAAAACAAGTTAATAGGTTCTAAACCTCAGTAGAAATTAGGCCACGATTTGCTAATTTGTGCTTAGTTATAGAGATTTAGGGGTTATAAAAAGGTTTTCTAAATTTGGTTTTGTATATCGGGGACAAATTGATGTTATACACATAAAAAAATTGATTGAATTACTATTGATATATTATATAATATTTAGTAAACTAGAATAATGAAGGTAATTTTGAAAGGTTATTTCACATTTTGAATCTTAGACCTAAAATAAAAATCTTAAAACTGCATTTTTATCAGACATATCTTTCTGAAATAACAAAGAAGAAAAATTACTACTGACATTTTATAAAGAATTGTTTCCCGGTCCTCTTCAATCACAGCAATCTCTACTATACTTACCTGGTGTTTGTCTTTTTAACATGAAGGGACTGGCCACTGGTAATGTTCCCGCCCACAGAAAGACCACCATCAACATCAAATTAGCATTGATCATCATATTGATTCGATATTCGAGTTGTATGAACAGTGAAGATTGTGTGAGTTTATATAGAGAATGAGAGACAGAGTGGGCTGATTTGTTACATCGAGCGGAAACAGTTAATGAGTTGTCGATATTCACGGCTTTCGAGTTGAGCTCGAAACTGTATTGTTTTCGTTAATTTTTTTTTTTTTTTTATAATTGTTGTCAGAGTACCTAGCAAAAACTGTAATAGTACATTTTTGGCATTGCAGCAGACATTTCAGCCTGCGGAATTACATTTATATTTATTTTCAGACATCAGACTAGAAACCGTAAATGATGTAGCGGAAAACTTTTTTAATTTCAGAAATCTGCCATAAACGCTTATTTTTTATTCTATTTGCGTCAAAAGTTTTTGTGTGTATTTTTGAAAGAACTTCAAGGGAGACTGCAGTTTAGAAAATCCTGATTCGGCAATTTTATCTCTAACTTTTTTGTACTGAATTTTGGTTAAAATTCTAAGTCCTTTAATTTTTACTCGATTTTTACGAAACTTGGTAGATGCGTAGAGACCAAATTGATAATTATGATTATTCAAAAACATTTTCCAAAATATTTCGGAAAATGGTTGAAAATATCTGAAAAATCAGTGTTTTTGGACTATGTTTTGCAAAAACTGTCAAATTTGTAATTCAAAAGATTTATACCATCAACATCTTCATTTTGTGTTTAACAGTTACTAATAGTTTAGCTGCCATCTTGAAAATTTCAAAATATCTTAAAAATTTAATGCAGACTACATTTTTAATCCGATTGTTCTTAAACTTGTTTAAAATGTAAGTAAGAAAA